GTGGAATAACTGGATTGAGCGCTGACCCGCTCATCAAAATCGCTTTTTGGAATCAAAAAAATTGGACTGCGAATTAATCACGTGCAAGCCGACGGACATCGCTCCTATTTGTGGAAGAGATTTACTTAATTATCACTGTCATAATTATGATTAATGGAAAAGTCAGTTGAAATCATACCGGCACTATGTCCAGCAAGAGTGATTTTATTTTTATCTCCGCCAAAGTGTTCAGTATTCTCATAAACCCATCTTAATGCAAGTCTCTGATCTTTCATACCCATATTCCCTGAATATTCAGGCAAGTCCAAGGATAATGAGCCGAAAATGACAAGCCGATAGTTGAAAGTTACCTGAGAAAGAAAGAACTGTCAATTCAAGCAATATGATTTGTATCATTCGTTTACGTACGACTATAACATTTGTTTCGATCAAGAAGTCAGGGCCATAGAACCTTGATGAACCAACAATAAATCCTCCGCCATAAATACTGATCATGACTGGTAGTTTTGTCTTTGAATTGATGCTTTTGCAATCGCCGGGAAAGTATACATTAATGTATAAGCAGTCTTCTGAACCTATAGCTACGGGGTCGAATGTTGGTGAATTCTAGTGGAAAAATAAAGAAACAATAAAAGTTTTTTTTTCATTTCATTTCTAAAGAATGCAATAATTTCACCTTTTGAATACAATCATTCCCAAAATCGAACGCATCAATTGTTTCAGTCCATCGATTATTCTTTTCAGGTGCCTAAAAATGCATACAATACAAAAAATGAGTTAATTGCAATTTTTTTAATCAGTGTTTCATTTTTCTTATTACTTTGAATCGAAGATCGTTGATTGGTGGCTTAGCAAAAGGAATCCCTCGGAACGAATAGAATACTTTTTTTTGTTTTGATTGCAGCCAAATAAAAATAAAAAATCTTCAAAGAATCGAAAGAACATTTAAACCGACATAACCAAATTGTTTGCTGTCAAACTTTTCTCATCAGTTTAGATGTTCTTCCGAATCGTTTCATTTTTTTCTTCAAATTAATCGTTCACATAATGTTTCTCGTAGACTCTAGAAACCTCTCAAATGTGTTTTGCTCATACATTTTGTACGTAGCGAACACTCCAAATGTCTCTCGATGATTCATGCAACGCCATATGCAACATATAGAAAGTTCGCGAACATACGAGAAACTCTAGAACATTCAAACGTTTCGACGGCGAATTTTCTGGAAACCATGAAAACAGTATAAATACCGCGTAGCGCTCGCACTGACATCAGTCTAAATACAAGCAGTGAAGTAAACACAACAAAACAAGCGAAAGAAAAGGAGAAGTTAAACACAAAGTTAAAACGTAGTATACAAGAGAAACAAGTGAAGAATTTACTGAATTTATTATTGTTGAAAGTGAGAAAAAGTGAAAAATCAAGTAAAAATGCCTGCAGTTGGAATTGATTTGGGAACTACTTATTCGTGTGTTGGAGTGTTTCAGCATGGAAAAGTGGAAATTATTGCAAACGATCAAGGCAACCGGACAACACCAAGCTACGTCGCGTTCACCGACACCGAACGCTTGGTTGGGGATGCGGCTAAAAATCAAGTCGCACTGAACCCGAAAAACACCGTGTT